AAAACTATTGACAACTTAACCGCATATAATCTACAAATTGCGATCTGTTAAAAAAGTTAAAGCAGTATGTGCATATAGCCGTCGTTTCTAGATAAATGTATAAATACCATGTTCAGAACTGCATGAAATGAGAAGATCTTACATGGCACTCAACATGGACGAAATATGCTGTGAAATGTTCCAAACCATATCCCGAAATTTCAGTTCCTGGCAAACACACCCCTTTTTTTTTCTATGATTCAGTTTTAAAAAACTCACTTATGTCTCTACTGCATGTCAGATTCCTTAAGTTTTTTCATAAATTGTTAGCGAGCATTAAAACAATACAAATAAATAAATAAACAAATAAAGAAAGAAAGAAAGAAAGAAATAGATATTTAAACAAGAATCCAATAAGACTATGTCGAGTTAGGTTTCACTTTTAACATAGAAGTGTCTATTATTATTTTTATCTTTAGTGAGTGAGATATGGAGGTCATCGCTCCAGTCTACCAGCCCCTCCTCGTCTCTCCCACTCCCTAATTCCTTCACCCATTAGTGTCAGATTGTTGCTTGTCTCTGTTAATGTACTGGTAGAACCTGATAACCGGTCAGGAATATATACATCGTTACCATAATCTGATAGTTTAATGTTGGAAAACATTTTGGTGCTCCGTGAGAATCACACAAACTTTTATAATTATTTTTCCATGCTCGAGTCCTTTCCTGACTGTCAGCTCGCGTCGTTTTTTTTTTTTTTTTTTATTCTTTGTCCTCATCCCCATCTTCCGTTCGCGGTGTTCGTTCCTCCTTTCTCTATCTACATAATCTCCAGTAATTCTCTTCTCCTCTCTGTTCTCCCTATTTTTACTATCAAGCTCTGCTGTAATATCCTTATTTTTTCTTCACATACATTAAGCTCCAACTAGAACACCAGTGATAAATCTACATACGAGTCCAGAGTCCTGTACTCATAGATTTTTTTGGGGACTCATAGAATTTCTAGAAGTACTTAATTTTTACATAATGGGACCCATTGTTTTAGCAATAAAGTTGAAAATATCACAGGAAAATGATTTGTAGATTGATCACTGAAACACGACCATAAACCTTTGTCTATTTTGAATTCCCGATTCCCTAAATTCGTTCGCTTCTTTGCTCACTGGCCTCTTAATTTCTAATAAAACCTCCGTCCTTGCGTCCGTGTCTGAAAGCGAAGCCTATTCTTTGTCATTTCTTTCTATGCCTCGACGGTTTTCTTCAATGTAAATGGTACTCTATGAGCCCTTCTTCGCTTCATGCCTTACCCGCCCTTAATATTTCTGACAAATACACTTTTGTATACTTCCTTGATCTTTATCTGTTCCTTTTCCCTCATATATTTCCCACGTCCAACCCCTTTTCTTATTCTCTTACGCTTCTTGTTCTCGCTCCCACTATCATTTCTACTTTATTGTATTTTCCTTAAGTAAAACAACTAGTTGTCTCCCCTCCCAGTGCCTCAAGTATAGCTTAGATGATGTCCTTACGCAACCTTCAGACAAGTTTCTGTGGTCAATTATCAGATAAACGACCTCTCAGTTTTCTCGTTCCCCTTTCAACCTCCTATTTCCCACTTACTTCAGTAATAACGAGTGATTTTTACCTCTCGATTCTCCTATTTGGGCCCCTGTACACGTGTAGACGCCATCAAAATAACCAACGCCCATGATTAGCGTCCCCACCTGACTTTTCCCCTGGCCCAGGTTATAAGAACCATTATTTAAAGCCAATTGGTAACGTAATGTGTGGTTATGAGTATCTACAAAGGCGCCGTGCCAAGAAATGTCGGGTTTCGATACATGGTCAAACTACGCACTTCATAAACTGGTGCATTCATTGAAGCCTGTGAGGGTAAAATTGTGCTAAACCACTAACCATGTGACTCGGTTTGCGCGCGTATTTACATCACGTGCAATCAACAAAAGATAGCACAGGTATATATAACGCTATTTTAAGACAATCTCCAGATATTTCGTAGATCTACGCATCAGCTGACACTCTTTGTTAAGTTCTGAACTAAGGTAAGTGATATGTTTGTATATATATTGTATAACAGTAATTCCGATCTTACCTACCTGCATAAACAACTACTTAACTAGTTCAAATTTATCTGTACAAGTTAAATATTTGATACAATTAAAGTTATTATGTACACTATAAAACACACATTTACATATTCATTAAACTATTTTTATGAAACCGAAATTACAAGATTTGGGACATTTTTTCGTTCATGTTATTTTTTTTCGTTTAGCCAAGCCAATTTCGAATTTATGACTTAACAAAAAAATCGGCTGGATTTTCAATCTTTCTAAAATTTCTATTAGTCTGATAAAGGTCCCGTATTCAGAATAATTATAGTAAAAGAAAATGATAACAAAACACACCAAAAGAAATTTTAAAAACTGATCTATTCCATCTTTACCATATTGCAGAGAGTGAAAGGAGTTTAATGGTGTAAATTGAAGATGTATGTTTTCACGTGATGTTCACAAGACAAAAATACGTGTAGCGCTTTCGTATACAATGTACATGCTTACTACATGCTACAAAGAAGTTTAAAGTAGGTAGATGGGCAAAATTATCAAAACACTCTCCTTCTTTACATCAATCAGGTTAGCTGAATTCCACAGTATTAAATCGAAACACAGACGCATACACTGTATATAAGTACCAGGTACTTTCGAAAGGCTTTGATCTTAATATAGACACATTTACGTATACAACTATACATGCCTTTCAATAAAACAACACATATACGTTTTAATACGGATATATAGAATAAGATATTCTATCATGTTGAGAACCCTTTGTAAAACGCACGCATGCAAACTCCAACGTACTCATATCAGATGAACTGAGTAAGGTGCATGTGAATATCTAAAATTATTTACCTGAAATTATTATATCGACATACTTGTACATTAATTCCCGAAGAATTTATTCATAGAAAGCCTGGGTTGTTTATCCGAAAATACAGTTAAAACATACTAAACATACCTATTGAAATTGTTTACCTTAGAGAAACCCGATTAGATTAATGGAATAAAACTCTTCAAATATCAACGAATATTCGTCTTATCGAGATGACAATGCTTATTAACCTACAAGGAATGATGATTCAGTCGTGCACTTTCAAGTATTTCAAACTTTATATAATCTTTGTGATTTTCTAATTAATATCAATCCTATTGTTCATGACGAACGGGATCCGAATGTTTATAAAATTTGTTCTCTGCAGGTTCCACTTTGCACATGTTATGTTCTTCGTTCTCCATAATGCTCTCTACACAACTCACTCTCAGGTTTCCAGTGAACAAAAAATAAATAAATATACCCGGAATAGCCAGGTTTTACTGTATGTTGGTTTCCACTTTACAAATATTAAAAGACTTACTATGAAGAGCAGCAAGTTTAACCTAGTTATCGAGGTTTACATATATACAGTGTGTAACAGTGTCACAATTAGCAGGTTGCCTCAATTAAGAACTTCATCTTACATATGGACCTAGTCAAACAAACTGCACTTGAAATATAATCTATTCTTTTTCGCTCCACAAAGTACAACATTTGTTTGTTCTGCGTGAATTATAATTGCTTAATTCATTTATTGAGGGCGGGGTAAATTGAAGTAGTGCCCACTAAAACCACATCACTCTCTGGCATATCTCAGACAGTATTCCAACCTATCATTTTGGGCACAAGATATAAAGAACATCTTGGCTACAAATTATATGACGTACATAAAACCTCAGGACTCTTTTGACGTACAATTCTGTACTTTTAAAGTTTAACACTGAAAAGAAGAATTAATAAAAATCATTTTCTATCGAAATAAATTAATCATAGGTGTATTGTATACGTCTTGTATGTATGTAAACTTCAGTAAATTATATGTATCTTTTGTTTTTCTCTAGCCACCAGAGACATAAATCTTTACCGTTTCAAAATAGAATAACTCAGACTATTTTGCTCATTAGCTCTTATAGACAGGAAAAAACAAAGAATTCTCAGAACAGCAGTAAGCTTTTAGTTAACAACCTATACAGTTTAGGACGTGTGTTTTAAGTATAGTTCATTCTCGTCATATCCTACCTTTACATATATCTCTTTAAAACATAGCTAATTTTCTATACATAGTATCATCTTTGTATCATTTTAAACCCAATTTCTAATGCAATCAGGTAGATCTAAAGTAACATTTACAACACAGTGTCCACATTCACAGAAAAAGATGGCATTCTTTTACGGACAGTTACATATATTATACACTCATCTGAACCTTCCGCCATCCTTTGTTTTGTAAACAAACGCACGTGGCATATAGCCAATTTCCTGAAGCCAGTCGCAAACGATGTTTACAGCAACACCAAAAGAGATAACGAATATTGATTACCGAATTACTTATGCTGTGATATCTATGTTATCTCATTAAGATTCTTGATATTATTAGAAACCATATCAATTTATAAGGAACGCAGACATGACACCATATGTTTTACCTCATCTAAAGATTTCACAGATCTCCTATACTTGTTTAACATGCGGTACACGATAAGGCTTCGAACATGCATGCATGTAAATAAACGTGTTTTTATAATAACGAACGCAGCCTGCGGGCAAGTTTCAAGTGTATTCTGGATAAAAATAACATTTCCAGCTTATACCAAGATCTAAGTGTTCCATTAATGAAACCTAGTCAGGTGCATGTACGAGACCACATATTAGATATTATTGTAGTTTTGCCAAGAATAAAAAGAGATAGTTTTAACCTAAAGTAAATCATGCCTTAAGTGTGAGTCATTCACAGCAAACTTCACTAAGAGTAGACGTTTGTATGTATACATGCAGTTACCATATCACATTACCTTTACTATTTTCAGAATTTTGGAATGCCTGAATCTTCACATCAGCTGAACGCTAGTTCTAGCGTCGTTAGTAGTGGGGCTAACGGGCACGGCGGTAGTCATAGTACTGGGTCGTCCGTACAGGGCGGTACGGCAGTTTACAGAAATAACAACGGAGAGAAGAAATCTAAAATGGCCACTTCACAACCACCTCCGGTTTCAAGCAGTACCGATTTAATGACGCAAAAAGCTATTTTGGAACAAATATTTCTTAAGCGAGCAGAGGAAGGAGATTTTTGGTATGTTATTGTGGCAGAATGGCTTGAACAGTTGAAACGGTATCTTGGTATGCCAAGCAACCGGAAGTACTACCATCAGAGGTCATACCCCGGACCAATTATCACCAGACGAGACTACGCTCATACTGTTGACGTAGTACATGAAGACGCTTGGCGCATGCTCATACAATGGTACGGACTAGCGGACGGACATAAACCAATCAAATTGGTTGTTTATGGCTACAATAGATCGCCTGATATTGAACATAACATCAATGCATTCAAACTGATGTTGTCCAATTCTCCACCAGAAGATTTCCATAATGAAAAGTTCAGTAAAATGGAGAAAGTCGGCCATGTTGAATGGAAAGCACGCGCCTTGTACGGAATAGGGACAGACAAAAAGACACGCTTGTGGGGCAAACCTGATACGGATGGTGAGTGGAGGGCGCTTACGTGTCGAGACAAAGCTATTGGTAAATGTCTGGAAGTTGATTCAGATTTCATTCGCCCGATAGTTGCTATGGAGATTTGTGGGTGTGACGATATATGGGGACAAGCCCCTGAAGGAGTTGAACCAAGTCAGGAACCAGCTATAGGCCCACTCTATGAACATGACATTTTCGATGACGTCACAAGTACATGGGAAATTGACATTCATGATCAAATCGATCATATTGGTAAAAGTGTCATTGATGGCCTACATATGAACTTCAGTGCCTTTGTTCAAAGAGCAAAAGAATTTATTGACCAAAGAGATGCACAACTTCGTCAACGTGAAAGAGACATATCCGCGTGTGAAAACTTCGCTGATGACACGAGAAGGAGATTGGAAGAAAAGGAACGAACGCTGGACGTAGAACTGGCATCATGCCAAACTTTGGCCAAAGATTACGAAACGAAAAAAGCACAGTTAGCTTCCGAGCATGACCAAAAAGTGCAGGAACTGGCAGAGCTTGAACAGAGAAGAAAGGTTGACAATGAAAAAGAAAGAGAGAAATTTGAAACAGAGAGGAAGCGTTTTAATGAAGAGTTGGAGGTAAGTATCTATCAACTATTCAGGTATCATATAAAGATAGTTACAGGATCCCAAACGCTGGTTTCAGTCGGCCAACTCTTAGTAAAAAAGATAAAGGAAATACACGAAAGCTCACAAAATGCATTTTATGTTAAAGGTTAAAACATCTTTTTAAATGACTATTTCACAACGTTATTACACAACTCCTTCAAACACCCATCAGTATCGTGAAATATTTCGTATCGCAGTTTCCTGTCTATATTGACTAAATATTTATCACTACAATCGTATGCCACACTACAATCGTGTCACACTTACCTTAATGAAACGATTATCTGCGGCACATGTAAACCTCTTTGACGCCTAATTCAGTGTCACAAGTACTGCTCACGTCACCTCTTTGTTACAAACTCAAGCCAATACTGGTCACTCCTGAAATACCAGCACTCGTATGTATGATAAACATTTGTCAGTACAGACACACTTTACTTTTGTGATCAAATAAAAATCTGAGGTTTATAATATAACAAAAAAAAAGTGGAAATATTCCGACTTCCAGTCCTTACATTAGACGAACAAGCAATACCGATTTAGGCTATGTGGGCCTCTTGTTAAAATCATCTGTTGAGTTCGGTATCAAAATTACGAAATAATGTTTTTTTATCTGTCCATATCACCCAAAGATCACTCCGTCAGACGTCACAGGTCCATGCCATTGAACACAAGCAACGCTGAGAATATTTTGCGACACTATTACTGTGATCTTGATTTTTGTTTTCATTTCCAGAGAATGACAGAGCTAAATGAAATACAAGAAGGTCGGATAAAACTGGACATTGGTGGTGTACAGTACACGACATCACTGGCCACATTGAAAAAGGACTCCAACTCGATGTTGGCGGCCATGTTCAGTGGACGTCATCAACTTCGGACCGAAGCTGACGGAAGTTACTTCATTGACAGAGACGGTGCCCACTTCCGGTACATTCTTAATTATTTGAGAGACGGCGGAATAAAGGACGGGACATTGCCTAGCAATGACAATTTATGGCGGGAATTACTCACAGAAGCCGAATACTATCAGATCAGCGGGCTGGTCGATTATCTTTACACGTTATTATACAAACAAAGCGAACTCTTTTGTGTTGAGGATAAGGACGTACCGGAAGACGAAGATGATGGAAATGACACTTTTGTTTGAAATGGATACATGGAGTTATGATACAATCTTTTGTAAAATATCATAAAAATATTAGACAACACAGGGCAAGTTTGTCTCGTGATATCATATGCATTGTTGTGACAAACGGAACAAAAGTGTTTCAGAGAAAACAAATCACTTGAGTGCTGTTTAATTCTGAATGATTCGTTTTCACATGACGACATTTTGCAAAATGAAATGTTCACTTTCTCGTGGAACATAAATGAGCTTAATTAAGCATTTTAAAAAACTGTCAAAATGTTAGTAGTCTATACCACGAAGTAATTTTGTAATCAAATTCTTTATGGTATTGTATTGAGACATTAATTAAATTATATAGAAAAATATATACTTTCAAATTTCGTTGCTATTTCCGGTTTCCTTAAATTGATCTAATCTTCCTTTCCTCGGTAAATAGGCGTACCAACGGAACTCAAGATCTTGCTAACATACATAGACGAAGACTAAAAAAGTGGTATTTAAAAAATAACCCAAATAGCAGATATTTCTGAATTAATACTTACATGTACATAAAAATGGTACATCAGTTTTGCTTTCTAGGGGCTCTCAATAACCAGAGGAAAGCCATGCCAGCACAATCGCCGCTTTCTTCCACCAAGACTAAATCGCTATCGGTCATTTCTGTTAAGACGTTACTGACACTACCTAGAAACCAAACTTTCATCTTTGTGAAAATATTTACAGCTGGTTGAGGATTGACTCCATCAACAGCCAGCGAGTGAGTTACTTGAGTAAAGACCACATGTAATGAATGTCTGTAACAATATTACCATAGTTATTACCTTTTTGAGGTTTACGGTATGCTGTACTTCGTTTATATTGATGCCGTCAATTTCAAAAAGTGTCAAATTGTGTATAGATATTCGAATTTTAGACTGTGGTACTTCACTAATGTCATCCCTTACTCAAAATCCCGAATCCGTGCCTCTTTGATCCTGTGTATACAGCATTAACGAAACCTCCTGGTGTATAATCTAAGCAATCATCGGTGATTCTAATAATATTGATAATAAAAGTCTAACTTCAATGAAACATTGCTCGATGTATTAAATATAATCCATATTCGAGTTTGTTCACATTGAAACATGATGTTTCATTTTTCTTTAAAATTAAATTAAAAAGAGCAGGGAGGAAAATAATGAATAAATATCAATGTTTCTCAGTAGGATCGCTAATGATATATATTATATGTTAAGATCACTTACGGTGAAGTGTGCAATCAAGAGAGAACTTCGGGCCGCCTTCCCCTCGAACATGTGTTCGAGACGCACTGACGGCAGTGGATGATTTCAGTCGGGGTAGTTGGTTCCCTACCAATGATACGTTAGATCTTCCTGTGGGTTTCCCTCCAACATCCAAACCAATCCTTGATTATGTTCATTTTACATGTTTACACAACGCGGTGCCTTTTGTATAATGGATAACCAGAGCCTGATTTACTATACATATGAATTGGGCGTCTCATCAAAATTTAAGCGGTACACACAGTTTAGGCCAATCAAATAAATAAATTCCATGTGTAAGATAATTACCTGTTAAAAAAAATAAAAGTTAACTTTTAGACAGAAAACTTATGATTTTCATAAATATATTTACGATTACATACAACAAATTATAGTCATTTTGCGATTTATGGATTTTGATATTTTGGATCACAGGATTGCTTAGTTACCAGGACGTTGTTCTACAATTATGTATTGTTACATGTCCATGATCACTGATATAAATGCAATAACTCAAGGAGATTAATTGATGATATCAAGTTATATCAATTCTGCCAAACAATCTGAAAACTGTCGTAAATATTGACTATAACTAACTATACAAAGCCTAAAATTGGATTTGATTATCTAAATGTGCATTCCATATGTAAATATATGAATGTTATTGATGCTTCTGACAATTAGGAAACATACAATACGGAACACGTGTATACCCTCTATCGTATGTAAATGACCTCAGCTTGATGCACATGATCTTAATCTGGCGATTACCATAAACAGCTAAATGTTATGTAAAACGAAGGAAATGAAACAGTTTATTTGATCATTAATTTCTTTCAAAACTATGAAAGTTTGTATTTTGATTTGGAATCCTCTGCAAATATTCTATAAAAAAAGGTTCCACAATGTGACTTGAAAAGCTAACGAGGCTTCAAAAACTACTCTCCAGTGTATCAGTCGCGATCTCTTAACACCCTTCGCTTCCAAAGAAGTGCTAGAATACACACGTATTGACATGCGATGAGTTGGAACGCCCCGACACATGTGTTATATAGACCCCATCACATCTAGATAATAACCCTATAAAGAAAATGTTCGGCAGAAACAACTATCTGATAAAAATAGTTAGTATATATTGAGGTACGTTCTTTAGTAGGAAATCATCGAATGATAAATTACAATATGTATATACATTGTTGTATATATCAACGCCCTGACAGTAAGCAATGTATACTTATATTTTGTACACGATATTTACTAGATATATTAAATTGCGATTTCAATAAATCCTTATTTAGAAATACACCCACCAAATGGCTTTATTTCAGAATTGAGACGTCAAAATAATTTGTCTTTTTTTATATACATATCAAAGTGGCATTTTATATATGATAAGACTAAGCATATCCGATCCCACATGCAGGGCCCCAATTTCCCTAATACAGGAAGTTTCAATATGGCGACATTCTTTTTATTGTTGACAGGATACATTCTCCTTACAGGTATGTGCGTTCCGAACAAGAAGTAAACATTCTTTTAGATTTATAAAAAAAAAGTCAAATTAATTGTTAAGTCCATACATGAGACATTTATGAGACTTCCAAAAGACTGGATAAGTTGTACATAGACCCGCTAGTTATAACAGATACTGTTGTATGTGTACATTTTCTGACTTACTGAGAGCATTGGGATGTTATATGATATAATGTTAGTTTTGGTTTGTCACTGTTCTGATTAAAACACCTGCAAGTTGTCAAATGGGGAAATTGTTAAGGACAGTCCCATATGATTACACATGAAGCTGACAGAACGTAACACTAAGATTTAATGACTAGGCAGATTCGTTGTATTCATACTTACAGCTTCATACTCGATTAAAAAGAAAACAAAATAGAACGAAACGATAACGGAAATCATTCATGATCATTACTATGAGCGGGATATTGTATGTTTAGCTCGTTTATCATGCCAGGGTCATTTTGAGGCAGGTGCCCCCTGTAGTTGATGGTGGTTACCTCACTGAACAACATACGGGATGCCTGTCACTTGCAATTCAAAACAACTAGAGTTATGTTAAGGACACAGCCACGTCAACACCGACCGGTCCGTTTCTATTGCATATAACAACCCATGATTTACACAATTATTTTTAAACAGGGTAAAATATTTAAAGTAATTTCAACATGGAAGTGAAGTTAACTTTCTCGAACTAAGATACTCTTTCTTCATCAAGTAATTATTTTTACAATTACATTCGTTTGGTCGTGGGCGAGAGGTTTGATTCCTAGTATGGGCAGTTTGTGGAAGCTGATATCAAGGAGCGTTGTCGAGGTTATGCCTTTGTCAAGACAATCTCACAACAATTGGTCTAGAAGCGACAAGCCTCCCACATGATGTTCATTGAGATAATAGCCACCTACTGCAGGGAGCAATCGCTTCAAAATGAACAAAACCTACTTAAAATGACTTTACATCTCTCCCGCCGTTAATGTTAGTTACAGTTCTATCCAATGTATTGGGTTCTTGTTATTTCCATTCGTATTATGTACACTGTTTCACTTAAACATGTGTCACTAACTGGTAACTGACACTATTATATAAATAATAATCTTGCATTTTCTGAAAGGACGATCTGAGCAGCACTGTATATATACTGAATATCTTGCTTTACACGGATGTGAGATCAGAGCAGTGCTGTATAAAATTTGTATAATGACTATATTTACATGTGTACTGACTATATTTACATGTGTACTGACTATATTTACATGTATACTGACTATATTTACATGTGTACTGACTATATTTACATGTATACTGACTATATTTACATGTATACTGATCTGACTATATTTACATGTGTACTGACTATATTTACATGTATACTGACTATATTTAAAAGTATACTGACTATATTTACATGTATACTGGCCTGACTATATTTACATGTGTACTGTGTACTGACTATATTTACATGTATACTGGCCTGACTATATTTACGTGTGTACTGACTATATTTACATGTATACTGACTATATTTAAAAGTATACTGACTATATTTACATGTATACCGGCCTGACTATATTTACATGTGTACTGACTATATTTACATGTGTACTGACTATATTTACATGTATACTGACCTGACTATATTACATGTGTACTGACTATATTTACATGTATACTGGCCTGACTATATTTACATGTGTACTGACTATATTTACATGTGTACTGACTATATTTACATGTATACTGACTATATTTAAAAGTATACTGACTATATTTACATGTATACTGGCCTGACTATATTTACATGTGTACTGACTATATTTACATGTATACTGACTATATTTACATGTATACTGGCCTGACTATATTTACATGTGTACTGACTATATTTACATGTATACTGACTATATTTACATGTGTACTGACTATATTTACATGTATACTGGCCTGACTATATTTACGTGTGTACTGACTATATTTACATGTATACTGACGATATTTACATGTATACTGACTATATTTACATGTGTACTGACTATATTTACATGTATACTGACTATATTTAAATGTGTATACTGACTATATTTACATGTGTACTGACTATATTTTACATGTATACTGACTATATTTACATGTGTACTGACTACATTTACATGTGTGCTGACAATACATCTGTACTGACTATATTTACATGTGTACTGACTATATTTTACATGTATACTGACTATATTTACATGTGTACTGACTATATTTACATGTGTACTATATGTATACTGACTATATTTACATGTATACTGACTATATTTACATGTGTACTGACTATATACATGTATTGACTATATTTAAAAGTATACTGACTATATTTACATGTATACTGACTATATTTACATGTGTACTGACTATATTTTACATGTATACTGACTATATTTACATGTGTACTGACTACATTTACATGTGTGCTGACAATACATCTGTACTGACTATATTTACATGTGTACTGACTATATTTTACATGTATACTGA